CTCTATAATATCTAAAATATTTCTGACGTCGTATATAAGGGGCCAGTTAGAACTTCATGAAGGACAATATTTAAAATCTACTTTTAGATTTTTCGAGATTGTATTAATAGTTTCTCAAATTGGTATTATTTATTTCATTTAAAATGTTGCAGTTTTTATTTTACTTTAATATTGTACAATAGAAATAATCGATTGTTTGTTTGTATTAAATGGTGTAAAAATCGGAGGGCAATTACGAGTGGTAGCGAGATCAATAGGTTCTAAACCCCCGGGAAGAGCTGGGTGGTGTATTAACAAATTATAATTGTCTCTACACGGTAATCCACTTGCGATATTACAATATTAACTTTCAGCCTACTCTCGCTCTGATAATTACTGTTGACTGATATAGTATTAGGTACTAATTTATCATTTTGTCTTATGTCAAGTAATCAAGTACCGAGAAACTATTTCACGGCTGAGTAATCTGTTTCTCAAATTATCTTAGCGCCAACGGAAAAGTATCGTTATTTACCTTGAATTGGGGTAGATTAATTGGAATTGGGTACCTACCTATTTCATAATTAATTATGATCTACAAATAAATAGAAATCAAACTAACGTAGTACGTATAGAGTTTCATTTTGAATAATTTAAGTGAAAATAGTAACTTGGTATTAACTGTTGTCAACCGACAGTGTAGGTACCTACATATATCAAGTTGATCTATATTATAAATGCGAAAGGAACTCTGTCTGTCTGTCTTTTTTTTACGCCTAAACTACTGAACCGATTTCTGTAAAATTTGGTACTTACATACATAATTTGGAACTCGAGAAAGGATATAGGATGGTTTCTATAACAAAAAACTGCAGGAAGTCACTTTTCCACGCGAACGGAGTCGCGGGCAAAAGCTAGTGAGTAAATAAAAACCTTAAAAAATAAGTTAATTTCAAACAAATCCTTGAATACGATGATGATGACTATGATTTAATAGTGATGCCGTTTCTTTGTTGAAACGGCAGCAATGACAAAATAAATCAGACACACGAACAACATAATACATAGTTAAACGTACATCACAAGGAACGAGCTCTTGTAACAATTAGGAACCAGATAAAATAATCCTGTCTCAATGTAATCAGGACAAGTGTAATGGAGTATGACATTGTGTAATACTAGGAATTAGCAATGATTAGCCGCTATAATATCGCCAATATTGTGGTAAGGCTAGTTAATTAACCCGAGTAGCAAGTACCTCTATCTAATCCTGTAGAAACCGGATTACTATTCAATTCTAATACGGATATTAGTAATATCTGGACTTGATTTCGATACGAATATCTATTTGATTTACTGTCGCGTTTCGGCGGAAGCAGTGACTTGACTATTGATCGGTTTAGGCTCAATTCCTTAATCATACGCGGTCTATTATGAGATAAATATGAATTTTAACATTAAAAACTTCTGCTTATTGAAAACTATTTCTTGTTCGTAACATTTTAATTTTTGGAATTTTACATTCACTATTTACTAGACAAAGCCCATAGCTGAAGGTGCCTGGGTCATAATTACCAATGGAGATTTTGAATTATTTGGAGTTGTTTTTTCTGTTATTAAATTTAATAAAGAAATTCAGAATTTTACCAGTTTATTACTTAGCCTAGACACGTAGTAATAGCATCTGTTTATATTTTTACGGTACTCGGGGGATAGAATGAGGTGTCATGTATAAAGCTGGGAGCCTCCTACCCAAGGTAGACGTATTACGTAACAGAGACGGCTCGTAAATCAACCTCATTTATGACTAAGGTAGCCAATAGTGTTTTTCGTCTGTTCCAAAAACAGTACGTTTTTATTAGAAGACCGACGGTTATCGGGAACCCTTAAAGCGAAACCGAGTCCTTTAAAAGGGTTTTGATATTTATTAAACCAAAGAGGCGGGGAAGGTGAGATCTTATTTTAGCCGGAGAATAATTAATGAAGGGTAAACCTTTCATTGTTGCCCATCACAGCGTTTAGATGCTAGTATATCAAACTAGACCCAACTCTCAAATTTCTTTAATGGACTTTGTACTGTATTGTTTTGAATTAAATTCATAAATCACTTGCATTAAAAAACAAGTAAAGATAAACTTAATGAGCTGGCCAAGAATTATTTATTTCTTTAATTTAAATGAAATATAAATTTCATTATTTCATTTAAATAAAAAATTCGTTATGAACAATTAATGATTGCAATCCTCTGAATATTTGCGAGCTCGGCTTGTATACAGTAAAAATCGAGTTATTTTCAGCAAAGTGAGAAAGTGCGGATAATCCGAATAAGCGTGGATTACCGGATTGCTATTAAATATTTTTACGCGAGCAAAAATTGTTGGTTGTGAAAGCATTTATATCTGTAGATATGTACGATGGGCAGTTGTATATTTCGCTTGCGTTCGAAAAAAGTAATACTCATCAATTGTCATAAAATTCACTATCATTTCCAATAACGAAATATAAGAAAAGAGATGACTGCGAAGTACCTATAGTTTTTTTAAATAAAATAGCTTTACTAGAGGACAGACCGACCGACTGACACACTAAGTTGAACTTTTTGATAGGTATTTATTTTTTTGTTTGACGTTCAAAAGTTCTTGTAGTGGTTTATTTAAAATAAATGATTTGACTTCGACTTTTGACATTCAATGTTCGAAAAAGACTAAGTAGACTGGTTTTGCCAATTTTGTTTTTATATGTTTCGACAAATATGCTGACGAATGACCTGATCGTAAGCAATCAACGCCGCCTATGGACGCCCGCAACAGCAGAGGAATTACGAATATTGTGCCGGCCTTTTGGGGATTACGCCTTTGGCGACTTGGGGTTTTTAATAACCTTACTCACACTGCGAAACACAACACCTCAGTTATTTCACGCTGATTTTCTATAAGGGCGTGGTAATACTCCGGTTGAGCCGACTCATGCGTGCCGAAGCTTTTGGATCAAAATGATCTGTGAGGGAGCCCTCTCAAATCCACAATGACCTTAAAGCATAAAACCTGCTCAACAGATATGCTTTGAGTGATTCTAAGCCGGTACGATATAACGCCGGGTCGATTTCAAGTCATTGATAATTTGTAATTACATTTTTATAGCATTCATACGTAGGTACACGACACATCAATTTAGAAATGCATGTCACATAGTTGTGATAAATCAGTAATGGAAAGATTTTCAAGCTATGTCAATAGATCTTGACGGCAGATACGGTAAAGGGTCAGTAGGGCGTACAGTCAATAGTATAATTGAATGTGTACTTAAATATTTTATATTCAATACTTTGTTAAATGTCACGCGCTTAACCAACTGTTTTTATCATCGAAGGTCGAAAGAAAATGACAAATGAGGACGACAAACGAATTTATTGGAGGACAAATTATTAAACGTTAATTAGAGAATGAATAAAGAAATTATTAAATAGATTTTCCTGATATGTTCAGATTAATGAAAAAGACAACAACATAATGAATATAGACGTAATATTTTACACCTGATATAAACCTTCAAGTTAATTGAAAATGACTCATTATACAAAATTGATTGAAAATTACGACTTAGGTTGACTTGCGGGTATTTAAGGGGGCACCAAGCTTCACTGAAGAACAGACTGACAGACTACTATTCTATTTGGACGTTTCAAAAGTATCTATTATTAGAAAAATAATATTATAGTGTAAACGAATCCCTAACTGACGCATTGTAATGTTTTCAATTTGGATTATTTTAGAATTAATGTTTTTTTGGAGGTTCCACGCAATGTTTATTTTATTTGGTAAATTAGTGTGTTTTTTGTTTGTAAAATTTTTTTATATGCCGATGACGGCTTGACATAGCGTTCAATTAAGACTATAATATTATCTGTAACTATATTATATAAGTACCTACGTTCAAAAAATAAATTATTTTCATTTGATTTGATTTGATATTTATGGTTTAGTTGGTATAAATGATTTTAAATTTGACTGTGACTTTAAAATAATTATTACGAACATATGTCCTGACCTTGGGAATAATTAAGAGATCAGGTTTAATTTTGCCACGGATTGATCCTGCTCGGTGATTAGTGACGTATGATCCACGGATAGGTAGCGAAGAATCACAAAGGCATAACCTTATTAAATACCGATCATTTGCCTCCAATTAACGTTTATACTTCGTTCATAGAGGTATCCTTAATGATCTTTGTGACAGCTAACTTGTGGGACAACTATCTCCGTCCCTCCGATAACTATAATGGTCTAATGAATCAATTGTTTTTACATCAATACACTGAAAGGAAACAAAATATTTACCTACATACCCTAATATTTTCTAACTAATTATATCATTAATTGAGATATATCCCACAAACCACATAATGTAAACTACAAATACAAATACACTAATATTGTGTGTCTACAATCAACATGTGGTGTATTGTTTCAGCAACTGTTTAATCTTTAATTAATTACCAACTAGTTCCACCCGATTAGTTTCAAACTGCAACGTTGTTCTTAGTTCAAATGTGTAGTGGAATCGCGTGTTGAATCCAACTTAGCCAGGTAATTCAATTAAAGTAGGAACATACACCTGTTCTGGTTGCTCCGTTGTGTTTACGAACTTAGGATTCGGCTGCCAGGAGCAAATGCTTGAGATACGTGTCGTCGTATTGTAAGGACCTGTAGAAAGTTGGTTCTCCTTAATAGTAACCCGTCTTCTCCTATTACCACTAATAGGAGACAAAAAAAAAACAAAAAAAAATACCTTGATTTGTCAAACTCTACCAATAAAGCAGCCCAATTAATAGTTAAAAAAAAAATTAAAAATTCTAATCTATCACCTTCGGCTGATACGATACCCCAACGAAGCAACTTATTGTGAGATCAACAAATTGTTATTCCGGTAATATGCATGTAAAAATTCTAGAGTGCAACAACGTTATAAAAAGATTTTAAATAAGTTGTATAAATCACAAAAGATAAGATCAAAATACTTACATGCCAAGCCAAGATGTTCGCAAGACTAGCCAGGACCGGCTCCGAAGCAAAGGCGATGGTAGTGGTGCCTTCTTCGAGAGCGTGGATGACTTGGAGCATCTTCGGATGACGCCACTTCTCCATGGACATGACACAGAGCCGCATGCAGTCCAACATGGTCTCCTTGCGCTTCGGCTTGTAAAGCTTCTCCGCGATGCGCTTGTCGAACACGAAGACCGAACACTCCTACGAAGAAAAACGAATAGTTAAAAAAAGAACATGGTGTAATTATATAGAATCGGTTCAAACATTGCTATTAATTGCGTAAACCTTAGTAGTAAGCGCCTTGTAAGAAAGTTATAATACATAATGTACAAAACATATGCTTAAAAATTATCATATTATTACTAAGTGTCGGAAAGCCATGTTTTGGCACCAATGGGCAGTCTCGACCAACATGAAACAAAACTAACGATGTTTTTCGCCATGTCTGTGACATCACCGGTGGCCCAATCCTTATCCCCACCCCTTGCTCAGTCCCCAAAACCCTTGCCTTTAATCCTTAATAACTTACAAAAGACCGGTAATTTACTTGTCATGTCTTTGGTATTATTAATATTCATGGGCGGCGATTGCTTACTATCAGGTCGCAGTCAGGTCATCTGATGACCGATCTTGGCTTCATCACCAAGCGGTTTCATCCGTAATAATAGCTTAAAAATAATGATGTATTAAAATTTTCAAAGAATCAATTTTCATCTAAATACGTTCAGTTTGCATAGGTCTGAAAGAGTAACAAACATTCATCCATCGATCCATACAAAACTTTCGCGAGAAATGATTAAAATAATCAGTACAAACAGTAATGAGACATATATATGAAATTCACAAAAATGTAATGGTCAAAAGAAAATAATTTACACCATTTTAAGTGTGGGAGAGCCATGCTTCGGCACGAATGGGTCGGCTCGACCGGAGTGATACCACGGCCGCACAGAAAACCGGCGTGAAACAACCACAGCATTGTGTTTCGCCGTGTGAGTGAGGTTACCGGAGGCCCAATCCTTCTCCTTCCCTAATCCCTCCCCAGTTCCTAAATCTCCAAATCCCTAATCCCTAAAAGGTCGGCAACGCACTCGTAACTCCTACGTTGCGGGTGTCCATGGGCGGCGCTGATTGCTTACCATCAGTTAATCGGTCTGCTGGTTTGCCGACCTATTACATTAAAAAAAAATGTACCGTTGTTCCAATGTGACATATCACATTGGAACAACGGTACATTTTTTTTAATGATCTTTTAAGTTTATTGATTTAAGTGCACTATTCATTAGTATCCGAGGGCATAGGAGTAACAGTATACGTTTCGCAAGGTTTAGAAAATAAATGAGAAGTAGAGGAAAGTCCTGTTTACGTTTGTTAGAAGGACAGAAGTATTTACAATGCGATCGGAAATCACTGAGTCGAGTTTACATAACAAGCGAGTTAAATTCAAGGTTAAGTTTAAGATGGACGTTTCCAGTTTACTGGTTTGTTTACTTGCTTTCTCCAGTACCGAGAAATCATTGGAAATCTTATACATTGCTGCACAATTCTGCATCTTGCTAACGACTTTGACCTTCGACAACACAAACAACCGTTTTGTTATGAATAGTAAAATACTTTTTAGTAATTTATTTATTTTTTATTTATTTATACTTCGTGCACAATTTGTATGTACATAAGGCGGACTTAATGCATTGATCATTCTCTACCAGTCAACCTTTGGGTGATGCAGAGTATTCAGTAGTAGATGCAAGAAGCAAGCGAAATAGAATAGCAAAACATAGGTTTATATAAATATACATAAAGTACATAGAACTATACTTATACACATATATTTATAAAAGTAATGCTGCCTATAAAATATTATACAAATATTGTAAGTTATACATATGAAAAGCAATAATAAGGAAACTCTTATCTAAATAAGAAAGACCCAAGTCCGATAAATGAAGACAAATACCAAAATTGAAACTTAACTCAATGCAGACACTGCAAATTCACAAAGATCTCAAAATGCCGACCATCAAGTAATTATTGCACAAAGTGTTTAACAACTAAAACCGGTTAATAAGCAGTTATTTCGCTGACAGAAAATAGCGGAGCTTAATAGTGTTGTACTCAAGACTGCCTTTGACACGGACCGGCACTAATGAATCATTAATTTGAGAGCTAAACGTGTAATTACTAGACATCTAAGTTTGTAGAGACTACGACATTGTGATTGTATTAGGCAATGTAAGTATATGCTTTTGTGCCGAGATGTTGGTCAAGCAACATAATATCTTTGGTAAACGGCATACAGTTTATTTTTGCTATCAATAAATATGACTACTGTGTGGTGATAGTAAAGTATTTAAGTAGGTGCTAAAATAGAGACTGCATTGATTTGACATGGAATAAGCAGCACCACTTTACTATTAACTTGAAAACTATAATGCCTAATAATTTGCCAAACTACATCAGTAGACAGAGAAGGTAGCAGTGCCCTGTCAGAAGCTGGTTTGTTGATATTTTTGAGATTATATGGTTAGAATTTACGTAATGGAACTGCTCCAAACGTCTTGTTTGCATTGTTTCAGCCTGTTATTCATTAACTAGCGGAAATAAATTGCATTAAGAAACAACATTAAATTCGACTGCTTTGTTGTCGTTCAGTTTTATATAAAAACTTTTAATGTTTAAACTTAAAATTGTAGGTAATGAATTTTGACGGAACTGAATATTTTAATGATACTTGCTCAAGAAGTATGTTAGAATCTGTAGTAGGAGTAACCTTAACAAAATTTGAAATTATTTAAATGGAAATCCACTGTTTAAAGGCGTAGTTGGTAAAACACAATAACACACATAACCCTTTGGATTGTTATTGCGGTCCAGAAGAAATATTTCATCCAACTACCTGACTTTACCTGGTAGTCGACAGAAAGTTAGCAACTCGTGCGAACCCGGGGGTGACATAAAATCGTTGAAATACGAACACGAGGAATAGTTTACATGAGTCGTATAAGTTAAATGTTGTCTTCAAGTTTTGGGGCTTAAGGACATAGATTGCTGAGAAGGACATAGGAAGCTAAGGTTATGATTACGAAGACCTATATATATATATAACAATAAATTTACATATCTTTTTTTTACTTTGTGTTTCATACCATTTATTCTCCACTTCATAATTTTAGTAACTAGGTTAAATACATATATGTATGTGCATTATCATTAATTATTGCCACGTAAATATAAACTGTTCAATCATGACCTGTTTTGGTTGAAAATAAATAAAACGTATTGGGCTTGGTAAAAACGTATGACCAATTAAACAAAATGCACTTTCGTAATAATTTCAGTAAACTATCAAAGGGCAATTAAATAAATTTATTGTTGTTATCCGTATAGTTTAGTTATTACAATAATTACAGTCCGTAATACGTATGGGGCAACCCAGTGACATGACATGTTGGAATGAAAAACTACGTTTAATTACAGGTAGATCATTTTACGTCCGTTATTTAAGTAGATAAGGGATACTACTTCATTATTGTTATAGTAACCGCTTTTATAAAATGACGTCACACCCATGTACATCCTTTTTTACCGGTTGGATGTCCATGTTATGCTTACGCCTATTGAACAATTAATTCTAGACAGGGAATGTTCAACAAACCGTTAAAATCCCAATATACATGAATGTTTATTTGGTGCGGAATCTTGCGACCAACAAGACAGTCATCGCTATATAAAAGACATTTTTGAAAATACCCTTAGTTAACAATCTACGTCGCTTGCCGTCTTCACATGTCATAGTGACATTATAGATAAATTTGAGATACATCCATTTTACACCAAATACCGCGAAAATCACAGCGGGCTACTATTTTGTTGCACACCAGATGGCGCTAATCTAGCAAGAAATCGATTCGACCAATCACTGTAGCTGTCAAAAATTGAGTGTCCAATGGTGTATAGGAAATTATGATAACTGCCGCACTCGCGACATTTGGTGAGCAAAAACAGTAGCCCCCATTATATTATGGCTCCACTATCCTAAATATGTCGCTTAATGTACTTTTGATAATGTACTAAGTCCATCCGACAAAGTTGCAGACAAAAGTTACATTAATTCTTGAAGTTGGCTCCCAAACTTGGAACAATGACATATTTTACTTAACTAGTTTGTATAACTTTATACATTAGGAGGGTTGAAGTATTGGATACGAATCCTTAAAGCTGTGTTTACAAAACAGACACTTCGAGATTTGAACAAGAACCGCGATTATCGCAAAAATATAGTTAAGTAAATGAAAAATTTATTCAACTGCTTATTTCTAATGATAATAATATGAGAATTTAAAATTTATTCTGTTGAGCTCGTGCATAACCATCAGCGAAAACGAATCTCATAATACATTCATTTAAGTAAATAACGCTCTAGAATAATTTCTAGGTAACATATCGCTGCACGTGCCACTGAGTCCGAAGCCTTAAGCACACTTGGTCGGTCACTATACAGCATGTTTATTTCTCTTTTATGGACGTTTTCACAGAAAACTTTTACAAGGGTGCATTAAAATCTCGTGCACGACTACATTCTCAAGATCAACAAGTCTTGAAATTGAGGACAGTATTGAAACGTTTTAGTATTTTGTCTTGTAGGAGATATGTATTTCTTGGAACGTTAGTAATAGAAACGCTGTTCACTGTACTCGTATTCGCAAAAGACCTAGACGTTGTTTGTTACCTACCTACCTATCTACTTTAAACAGGAGCAATTACCTACTTAATTATATTTTATAAAAAGCAAAATTTCAAACATTTGACAGAAGATAGAGAGCATTCATTGATCAGCGACGCGATCTTTAAATTCCAAAGTAGGTATAGAGGTAAATTACCAGTCAGACGTTAGTTATCAGATTTATAATATTATATTTTAAACATAATATTCCTCTCTAAGCTCATATTCAGATCATATATACATACCTATGGAATAGTTGCCGTAAAATGAATAGAAACTACGGTGTATAATAACGAATGGATTAACCAATCGTGAGGTTAAGCTGCGCTTGCCCTGATTACTAACAAGTCTGTGGATGGACCACTCTACATATACATAGAGTGATTTGTAACTAAGGCATAATCTCGTGTGGTACTTCGCCTTTACCAACAAATCATCCTGTAGATGCATTGTTACCTTTTGTAATACTAATGCCTCGCTCACAGAGTATTATCTGAGTGCTGAAATGCGTCTCTTTTTGGTAAAATTATCTTTATTGCAATTGTTGCATAAAAGTGTTTAGAACTTTTAGCAAATGGTTGTCCCAGCAAACGGAATAGTGGAGTAGAATATTTGTACGTAAATAATGACTAATTAATCAATTATAGAAGAATTTTGTTCCACTTTAAAATATCGTTAGTAGATCAGAGATATCTGTTTGAATTCATAAATTCTTGATTACCGCTATAAGCGATGCAATGAAAGACAATTAATGTCGTATGAAAACCTGCATTTTGATGATTGAGGGCTTAATATTTCAACGTTGCTGGGGTCATTTGATATCTCTTTCTATTATAATTGTTAATGATACATGATATATCTTCAGCTTTGTCTCTGCCACAACGCACCTACGTCTCATCTTATTTGAGAGCAACGTAGGCGATGTTTACATATCAATAACAAAAACCAGTGACGTCTAATATTGGAGTACGAGTTTCCTGTACTATTTGAGAATTGGGCAAAATTTCCACGCGTGTCATATGGATTGGAGATTTCAATTTAATAAGTTTAAGCTTATCAAAAAGCGCTGGTGCTTAATTTTTATTTTCTGCACTTTAGAAGGCATCTTTTAGGTTATCTCGTATAAAGTTCATAGCAAAAGAAAGGGCACTCTTCTCCCACTGATAAAAGAGGCTTTATTTAATACTATACATTAAGGTAAAATAAACCCGCCATCGAACATCATAAGAAGTGATTCGATTACGACGTGCATTAATTAGCAGACGCTAGGAATATTACCTCTTAGCTATGACAGGCCGGAAGAGACGGCAGACTTTGTTCGAAGATGTTTTAAAATAAATCTATGAACTAGTTTTTAATGTATAATTAATGAGATTATTGGCATAATACTCTAGTTAAGATACCGTGTCTTATAGTGTCGCATTTTATTATAATAGACTAGAAGTACAGTACCTGTATCGATAGGTACTATCATAGATAATAGATCCGTTGCAATCTATGATAATTGAATAGATTTGTGTGAATTTAATAGTGTTAGAAATAAGTTATAATTTTACCTAACGAAATGTGTAATGCAAAACAAATCGTCGCTAGACCAACAGTTGTAAAACAAAACAAGAGCTTACATAGTTGGTTAATTGAAAGATAAAGCACCTACCTTCATATTCTACACAATAGTGCGGTGAACTGATGACGTCAAATCCAGTGTAAGTTGACTTTGCAATGTTTTAGTCGGTAAGTTTATGCTACTAGCGGAGAGTGATGTGACGTGAACTATACTTTCAACATTTTACATCACTATTTAGGAACAAAGCAAACACTGTGCGAGCATTTGAAAGGATTTCATGTAGAAATGAGGTTTGAGAATTTTGACAATACAATGCATGTGAATTTTGCATGCAAAGCTTTGTTCACTCAGACTTATGAGCTGGTCTTAGGTATTTTAGTCTGTAGTGAGTGACAAGCTTTCTGCAATCCCTCTTTATGAGAATTTAAATAGTTTGCACAAACTTTAATTGTGATTGTGAATACATAATTAATTACTTTTTGGCTTTCAAGGTCAAAAACCTTGCGTGATTATCGTTAAAAAAATAATCTTCTACTTTTCACATTTTCTATTTGAGTTATGACAATCAAAATCTTTTTGTTTTGACTAGTTTTCTATCAATAGTCTTCTTCTAGTGTAAAAATCCATCATTATCGTTATCATAATACCAGCTACAGCTACTACTATTTATCCATAGACAATGGCTTAGACTGGCATAGACTAATTGAAGGACAGTGACCTGTACCCAACGTCATACTGCGTTTGAGTAACTACGAGTTAAATATCAAATAAATAAATCTAGCCTTAATAAAATCAATTTATCACCTACTTGGATATCGTTACGAGTATAGAACGAAGTTTATTACCTGTCACTTGTACTTAAAATAACATCGCCATAGTGAAAATTCACTCCCTGTTCGCGGTTACGACGACGTTAAAAGTGGGCCTCGTAAAAATCTATTGTATTGGTCTATTTCACAGCTTTCGTGTGATTAGCTTTTTATACCTGTATTACTTTTATAGATTTTTCTTTGTTTTACCTTTTACCTACTATACTCGTTTGGTTGGGAGTTTTCATAAGGACGTTTATACTTAAATAATTCATAGGGAAGTAAGTATATAGTGTTGGTAAATATGATCTTTAGGTATATATAGGTATAGTGGTATATGCGACCTCTAGATGTTGATAGTCCCAGCCAACGTTGCTGGTGGTCAGCCAGGGTTGCGGGTCAGCCTCGGCTTGGAGTAACAGGGTGGTTTTAGCCAGTGTCTGTCACTCCTTATCGCGTCATCAGCTGATGTTTAGCCTCTCAAAAATACGGTATTCTTAGTACGTAAATTATAATAAAGAATGTGTAGTTATTCGTTCTCTATTTGACAAGAGCCTTTTACTCAGCAGAGAACATTTATTATATTGTACACAGTTTATTATGCGCGCATTTAATTTTTTAACTACCCTTATTTTCTTTTATTGTTCTTTGTTGCGTATTTCTTGTTATCAAATAAATAATTTTCAATTACCAATATCCAAGAGCCATTTTAATCCAAATTATAGTCTAAGACGAATATAATTTTGGTCTAAAATTGAATATGTTCACCGAATTAATTAATACCTATTAATTCATAAAGTGAAACAATTTGATTATTATTATCATTGTGAAGAATTAATTACTATCGTTATTAGATTCTACTTCTCCCGTTTATGTGTATTCTGTGACAACAATTTGTAATTTACGTAGAGCTTAGTATATCCAATTCCAGTAAAGGTAGACTTCAAACGAAGTGTTTTGTTTATCTATTTGACTAGATTTTGCTCTGGTAAATTAATATATTTTTATTAACGTTTAAGATGGAATTCAATATTGACATAGTTCCGTAGACGCTGAAGACCGCAATAAGTGGAGGCGCGCATTGCGAAGGTTACACTATCCGATGAAATTGTACAGATGAGGCGGGATGGCGCGATGGCGCAGACATTTTGCTGTACGTGACCTTGGCGTCATTATGTGATACGAAAATATGGTTTGTAGCCAAATATTATATAAAAATTAAATACAATACCACTCGTCAATGTACATATATATGTTTTTAACATATTATTGAATTCTTCTTTTCAAATTATCAAGGTGCGTTAGTAAATCCACTGGACTGATACAATAACCAATGGCACGTGACGAATTTGAATCTCAAGGGACGGAAGGGTAGAGGACCATCAAAAGATAGATCGATGTGGGTTAATTGACGTGAAAGAAAAACATGTGAATAACATCAGTTATTTATGGAAGAGAATGGATTAAAAAGATTTTCTACATCTGGTTGAATAACTTAGTTGTTACTTAAGTAACGTATTTAATTTTCTATTACGATAAGTAGCAGAACAACTAATTTGATATAAATCTTACATTAATCTTTCGTAAGCATATCCAAAAATAGTAACAAAGTCTAATTAAAAAGCAATAAAGGCAACTCCTATATCGCCAATATTCCTTCACGCTCATTGGAGCGAAGCGGTCAATGAAGACGCTCATGCTCAACAGCGAACCTTTACGGGGTGTTACAGTCATATGATCAATGTAAAAGCAACCTTAAACCAACGAACAAAGATATCTATTTGTTAGCAGATCCTTGCGTGACCATGTTGAGTAAACAGTTACTCAACTTTCCCTCGAGATAAGCAAGGGCTCATTTTTATTAGATACAAAACAACTACTGAATTCGCACGATTTCTTTTAGGTAAGGAAAAATAACCTCTTTGCGTTACTTTTGTAGTCGAGAATAGTTTTCTATGTATCTTACACTATTTATATACAAACATATTACATGATGGATGTTGGTCTCAGCGATGATACTATTTGCGACCTTAGAAGGAACCAACCAATACCTATTTATGATTCATGTTTATTTTCGTCTCCTTAACTTAAGGACGTTAGCCTGAACTATAAATAACATGTTTATTTTTAAGTTGCAATATATTTATTAAAGCGTTAGTAGTATGTAGATCCATTTGATATACCATATTTTTTACTCCTGTTTATACATTAAAGGTTATGTTTCTCAGTAATCATAGAATACTTATGAACAACAACACACGATATTAGGTACATTTATTTTCGTCACATTTTTTTCAGCTATATTCTTTGTTTAATCTCATACAGCCAACGCTCCAACCTCGGGTTTCAGATAACATTATGAAGAGATTGTAAGAAAACAATACACTTTCAACCTCCATACACCATCCATCAAAAATAACGCGTAAATAAGATCGTTCTCCGATTAATAAATTTTGACTTACCCGCCCATAATTTATAATTGAAAGGGATTTTATCCCTGGGGTATTTTGGTAATACTCTCTTTCAATTTATGTAATTAAATTATTTTGTAGGTGTTTTAATACACTTTACAGTTACGGTCAGTAGCTGGGTCAATAAATAAATGGGTATTTTAATTGTTCTTTTTGCACTAACCGCACCCATGATGAGCCGTGTCTCATTGTAACTACTTTAGTCATAATATATCATGTATGTAATGACTATTACAGCAAGATTACAATCTATAAACATAATGACAGTGTATTTTAGTTAGGTTTGTTATAACAAAGCTAATTTAATAATTTGTTTAAAAAATAAGAACTTACTCATCTGAATAGATAGAATGGATTCATACAAATATGTTTTTTTTTACAAAATCTTTGCTTCATTTTATTATTTTAATATGCTCCTGGAGAGTACTTTCCAGTAATAATAATGTATTTATTTAGTGCATGCAACTCAAGTGTGGTTCACTTTGGTTTGAGTTTCAAATTTTGTTAAATTAAGAGATTCTGTGAGTTTTTCGTCTTTTACGACATATTTCAGCAACCTGAATACTCATTCATAATCACACGTGGCAATAAGAAATGTCCTCTTCTATTGTATTACTGTCACAGAAAAAGAAAGCGAAACAGTAATTCAAAGCCGTAAAAAGTGTAATAAACGAGCAATAAAAAGCCCTATGGTTTACTCAATAAGAAAGGATTTTCTTTGCGGGTAAAAATCGTTCAACGTTCGCAATTAAGGAGCGTTGAGCCTAACAACACGGGTTCTATTGCTCATTAACAAGTTCTCTTTTTTAAAACGTCTCATCAAACCGTCAATACAGCGTGGAATAATAATTCATTAACATTTATTTAAAATTGCCTATTTTCTCATTTTGCCTATTTGCGCAAATATCTACATTTTTATCACTATGTTTGACGTCAGTAACAAATTATAAGGTTGTTAATATCTTCGACTAGATCTTACCCTATTGACGTTTTTATTAATCCTAATGCATAAAAAAAAATTAAATGGCATACCAAAATTAAAAAATATTTAATTATAAAACTAATCCTACAACTACACCGCATAAGTAATTTATTCTTACTTACGATAAAAAAAAAATATGAGGTAATACTGATAATTGGTTTATGCGGTCATGGTCACGTGATTATATCGACTAAAGTTGAATGTTCTTTAAAAATTTGCAATATTTTAATCTAATAAACATGTATAAGCACTTATTTTTAATTAAACAAATCGTCTTGTCACATTTACCCAGAATGTCCATTAGACAAATATTGATGTACAAATGTAGTCGCATAGAGCGTATTTTTATTACAAAGCACGTGTTTGCGTGGGTTGGTTGTGATCCAGGACAAACGCGGGATCAACTGACGGAGACAACCGATACTCAACTCGGTCGACCCCCAAATGGCACCGAGGTCGATGGAGTGAGGCGCGGAGATGCCTCACGGGTCGGGGAGTGGTCGGGCCCATGCTCGCCTACTATGGAACACAAACTCACTTATTGTCCCAAATTTTATATAGCCCCGTTAAATGGCATGAGAGTGAATCCATGAAAATGAGTTGGTTTTGCTCAGGCTTACCAACAACCGAAAGTGGGTCATTAAATTCTTTTATAAATAGCTAAAATATATTTTATTTTTCGTGAATATACCTAGTTAAATATCTTGATAGGACAATATTGAAAATTTAATAATAAGGCAGCTACATTTTATGAATTATTTAGATTCCAAATACCTTAGTAAAAGGGTAGGTATCCTAAAAATTTGTTAACTAAATCAGAAAATAATAATTCTT